TTATTTATTTATTTATTTATTTATTTCAGGGTCTCACAACTCAGATTCGTAGTGATCCTCTTGTCTCAGCCTTCCCAGTGCTGGGATTACAGGCATTTGCCATCACGCCCAGTGCAGAGGATCTATCCTGGGTCCTTGCCCTTGCCAGGCAGGCGCTTAGACAACGGAGCTGTCTCCCCTGCCCAATATCCAAATTATTTTTAAAAAAGTAAAAAATCACATTTTCCCAATTGCACTATTTTAGCAACAGCTAACGACAACAATGTATTTAAGATAATTAAAGTAGATTTCTGAACTTATGGCTTTTTATGTTTAAGTAGACATAATATTACTGTCAATCTTAGATTTAAATTTACTTTAGCTTTAAGGTCATAAATGCACTGTCTTTTGTAGAAAGATAAATCAAAATATGGTTCATATCACTGCATATTAGACTGTTCACTTATTAATTACTGGTTAAATTATATTAAAAAATTAAAATTTTATCACATTTCAATGCCACGATCTCCTGCTGAGTTGTCTTCCTTTCAAAATTTTATACTTTGACTTTTTCGTTTTGAGAATTTTTGGCATCAATATGAATATATTTTTCTACCCCTCTGATTATTCAGCCACAATTTCTTTTGAGTTTCAACTTCGTGAATATACTTCAATTATATCAAGTTTTATAATTTCAAATATCAGAAAAATACTTTTTATTCAAAGTGCATACGTGTGAAGATGTCACCTGTAAAATTTTACAGCAGAAATAGCAATTTTTTGTGTGTAATAGGATTATTATTTTTTCCTCTCTTTCTTTTCTTTTCTTTTCTTTTCTTTTTTTTTTTTTTTTCAGAATCAGCGATTGAACTCAGGCCCTTGTGCTTGCCAGGCAAGCACTTATTCTACTGAGCCATTTCTCCTGCCCCAAAGATTATTTATGTTTTTCTTTCAAGTAGCATATTCCATTTTTCAATGTGAGCTTAATTCATAAAAATGTATACTTCCACACTGAATTATTGGTTGGAAATATTATTAAAACCTATGTCACAAAGAATCTTCCTCTTCCATTCACTTTTTTGTAATTACATAATTTGCACTATTTAGATTAGACTGCCTCAAGCTCCAGGAAATCCTCTAGCTTCTGTTCCTTAAGTGCTAGGATCAAGAGGCTTGTCCTACCACACGGAGGCAAAGAAAGCCCTCTAAACATAGCATATATATTTTCACAAGGATCACACTAGAAGTCTTAATAGAATTTCAACTTACAGACCCATTAACTGAGATATACAACTCACAAATTGGTACTGCTAGAATATATAAATATTTTTGTTGGTTCAAAAGTCTTACATCTATTCAAAATTCTATTATACCTCTATGTGCTTATGTGTGGTACAAGTTTTTCAATACTTCTGATAAAAAGGCTTACTTAAAATTCCAATTATCGTATAAAATAAAATTGTACCCAGAAGTAACGTTAATGACGCTATTCATTTTTCTTGGTTCTAAGTAGCAACACCTGGTGCTTAAGTTTTATTCATTATAATATTTCCTAGATCGAAACCTCTCTCAGGGATTATTAAAAGACTTGAAACTGAGTGAACTTAATATAACTGAACACTTATTTTGAATGCTGGTTTATTCTTTGACACTGATGTGTGGTGATTACATTTTCTTTATTTAATGTAACAAGGCAAAGTGTTTTATATAATTATACATTGAAATTTCTTCATTTTAGTTTTCTTTAGCATTCTTTTAACTTTTTGTAATAAATATCATGACTTAACTAAAACAACATATGCCGCATATAAAAATACTTAAGCACTGAAAAAATGCTCTAACAAGATATTAATGATCTGAAATACTACACATATACTCAAATGAAATAGTACACTTGAGTGTCTACTACAGAAGTTTTCACTTAAGTCAGCCCATCTCTTACTGTATGTAGGTACCTGTCCAAGAACTGTGAGAATGGGTGATTCCTTTGTTTGACATAGAAATGTTCTTTAAAATGTTTTTTCCTAAACAAAAGTTGACTCTAACCACCCACAACAAGCAAAAAACATAAAGAATTCTCCACATTTAGTTTGCATTTTAGTTCTGTTCATCAAATAAATCATAACTGTCATTGTCTTTCCTTAAAAATAAACATATCTTATCAGTCTATAGGTTTTATTTTTGATATATTTCTTCAGTGTA